AAATTCAAATTAAATTCTGATGTCTATAACATGAATACTAGACAAAAATATAACTTCCACCTACCCTCATCAACTTTATCAGTATATCAAAAAGGAGTCTACTTTACTGGCATAAAAGTGTTCAACAATCTGCCACAAAGTATTAAAAACTTGGGCAATGATACTAAAAAGTTTAAATCAGAGTTAAAGAATTATCTACATGCTCATTCCTTCTACTCTTTAGATGAATACTTCAATATAAATAGAGAATGATGTAAAATTAAGTTATATTAATTTTTAAGCTAAAATTGCCTGTACTTATGTATGTAACCTTTTGACTTGTTCTGTATCCAAAGGTACTAACCTACTTAGGATTTATAGAATGTAAATAAATTCAGTTCAATTCAATTCCAAGTCACCTTATCCAAGCAGGCTAGCCTGGCTGTTTAAGGGTGGTGATGCTCTTAAGTTAAGATATGAAGTTCTGTGTCAAAGCTTGTGTGACACTGAGGATGCAGTGGAGTGAGCAATGCCTATTGGATATAAGGTGACTCTATACCTAGGCAACCCCCCCCCCCCCCAAATGTGGAGTAACAACTTCCTACAACCACAATTGTCAGAAGGAACTGTAATGGCCCTCAGTGATATTCATCAATTTTTTGGCTTCACTAGGGACCAGACAAGATATCCAGGGACCCCTCTAAAGAGATTTTTGTGTCTTCTCACTCTGCACTGGAGGGCTCAGCTGCTGTGAGGACCCACTGTTCTTGGAGAGAAAATATTGTATGCTGAGAGGCAGCATCTATACATTATGGGCCTCTTGGAAAGTGTCATGTGAAGGAAATGTGGGCATGAGGAAAAATCTTTTACCACATACTTTGTAAGCACTCAGCCTTGGCTTGCCACATAACAGAGATTTTCTGCTCTACACAAAAAAAGCAGACAGATATCAGGAGCATCACAATCAAAATTGTTGGCTGTATTTTACAGTGTCTGAAGGGCACTAGCAAGACTGAGGGAACACAACTCAGAAACAGCAAATGAGTGGCCTACAAATATTAAGGAAAGTGGACTTTACAGTGAATTCATTCAAAGAAGCTTACATGATGTAACACTCATACAATCAAAATGTCATATATGTTTTATTAAAGTGTGAACCACACTGTTCGCCATGAAACATAATGATATCATGTGGTCCACAAAATTAACTACTTCCTTTAATTCCAAACATTATTGACTAACATGCATACTGATTCATTTGCAAAATATGTATGCACCTCGCAGCCAGTGGAGCAACGGTTGCCATGAAACGGTCAACAAAGGCAAGACTCTCTCCATATATTACATTATACTATGGTATGTTATAATACATTTTTATTATACATACCTTTTTAGCCTTAACTATCCACTGAAACGAATGTATATGGGAAAAATATGTTGGACTCATATACAACTTACACGGAAAACCTTCTCAACAAACTAACCATGTACGCTGGGGAATTACAATACTTTGAATTTAAGGGGTACTTTTTGTTCAATATGAACCTTATAAATTACTTGTTGCTGTATGGTACATAAACCTGGATTGGAGAACATTAAGGCTGCTAGTCTTAATTCCACTTGCATTTCTGTTACTGGGAGCTGCATGGAAGGGGGAATCTCATCTCACTAAACACTATGTACAAAGCTTGTCCATAAAGTTCCAAGACTGATTTAATGCCTCGGCTTGGGTAAATGGTGGCAATTCCGGGAAAAGGTGTTCTAAATATGGGACATTTTATGGCTTGCCTGTGTTATTGACGTTAGTTCACTTGACCTCCGCTAGGTGGCAGGGCGCGGCAGAAAACTTATGTCAATTGTCAGTTATGGATTTATGCTGTGAGATGTATGAACGTTCAATGTGAACAGAGAGTTTACATCAAATTTTGTGTGAAGCTGGGCAAGACAGCCACAGACACATTGCAGCTTCTGCAAGATGCCTACAGTGATGAAGCTTTATCTTGGGTGCGAGTGTTTGAGTGGCACATGCAATTCATGTTAGGCAGAGTGTTGGTGGAGGATGAGACAAGATCAGGCTGGCCTCTGAGTTCCAGGAACGAAGACAATGTGGTTCTCATCAGAGACATGGTATGGGAAGAACGTACTGTTACAGTGTGCATGTTAGCTGATGCCCTGAATATCAATAAGTTGACATGCCACCAAATTTTGCAAGAGAACTTGGTAAACGAAAACTCAATGCCAGGCTAGTCCCATAAACACTCACTCAGAGTCAAAAGGAGATGCGAGCTTCACTTTGTGCTGATTTGTTACACGAGGCACACAATGATTCCACGTTCATTAACGGTATCATTGCCACAGAAGAATCATGGTGCTTCCAGTATGACTCTCAGACGAAGAGGCAAAGCGTGGAATGGTGGACAATGGGTTCTCCAGTGTCAAAGAAGGCAGCCATTGAAAACAGAGACTATGATAATCATTTCTTTTTTTTTTGATGCCAGGGGTATTGTTCATCATGAATTTGTTTCACAAGGGCAAAGTGTCAACCAAGAATTTTACATCTCCGTACTTGGATGTATGTGCAAGGCACTTCAATGGTGTTGTCCTGGCCTGTGGGCATCTGGACAGTGGACTTTATTGCATGACAATGAGAGACCACATACAGATCTAAGTGTCAACAGATTTCTCACTAAACACAATGTTACTGTGCTTCAACAATCCCATACTCCCTTGATCTCTCTCCATACAATTTTTTCTGTTTCCACAACTGAAAAAATGCTAAAAGGATGGAGAACATAGAGGCTATTCAAGTGGCTGCGACAACGGAGCTCACAGCCATTCCGAAAGAGGCATGAACCAGCTGCTTTCAGGACTTGTTGAAATGTTGACAATGCTGTATGGAGGGGACTACTCTGAAGGGGACAGGAACCATTAGTTATTAAGTTGAATTTTGTATATTTTACAGACTCAGTCTCGGAACTTTATGGACAAAAGTTGTACTTTTCTTTCATGATACAACACTTCAACTCAATGGTGCTAGTGCTGCTTTTAATGGCAGCCATGAGTTGATGAAGTTTAAAAGGACCATGTTGGGGAAGTTTACAACAGATATATGCAGCTTCTTAGAAGTGAGGACACAATGTACTGATCAGCTTGGGGACTTAGCAGACTATATCAACAAAAGAGAATATAAAGTGTCATTAGACCAGCACCTGGAGACAGGTTCCAATATCAGGGGCAATGACTCTGGTGCCCTCATTCTGGCTCTCTGTTGAATACTGGGAGACACTGGTACATAATTAATAGGTTTGGCTAGACGAAGCATCATAGATTCAACTCGGAACTAAAATAATAAAGAACAAAGGAAATTAATTTTCAGTTAGCATAAAATGAACTGCTCAGTGACATGCAGCCTACAGCTACATGACAGGGAAAGTCAGAACTGGGGAAAGTCAGAACTGTAAGTAGTGACATCCTCCAATGAGGGATGAGTACTGCAACAATGTCAGTATGGTTCATAAGAAATGCTTCCAAGCCATTCACTCCTCTGGACTAATCACACAGCAGGCAGTGTGTTGTTGCCAGCTATACAAAGCAGAAATTTTGAATGTTGATGTCATCAGCAATGTGCTAAGCACTGAAGGCTGCATGTCAGTGCACTAACATGAACACATCAGTATCTTCAAATTATGCTAAAAAAAACCTGTATGATATGTCTGCTACATAATAAACCTATCACCATGCAATCATATAATGCCGATATTCAGCAACTTACGTGGTATATGTGTCCATGTAAGTAACCTACCTATACTGGGAAACACAAAAAACTGATGTATTTTCTGAGGTTCTTCACAGCAGTGAAGCTTCATATTCTGGTGTACTAGGGTTATGACATTAGTCAAAATCCAGATCACCTCAATATAAAGAAGTGAATTGTAGTCTGTCTGCATATGAATAAACTGTACTAAGAATGGAGAGAGTGAAAATGAGGAGGAGGATGGAAGGAGGATGAGACAAAATGTCACAATTTCTACTCATATGGAATAAAATACAACATTGCCTAACCCAACCTAAAATCATACATGTCACATGGCTAAACACCATTGTTTAACTTATCAAAATGCAGCTAGAGCAATTAATATGGATAAACAATAAATAATATACACAAATTCAATTCATGAATGACAGTGCTGCTAGATAAATAAATGCTGCACTAAGTACATTGATATTACATTGCTAACAGCAGTGCAAGTGAGCAGTAAAAGTTTGTGGTTGGCCATGAGGGGTCTCTGTTGTTAGCAACCGTTACCTAGCAATGACTAGTGATGACAAACAGAAGATTTTTTGTAGTGAGTTATAGTGTGTGTAAATTGGTGATAGTGTGGTAATCATTTGCAGTCACAAGTGACAAGAGTCAAAGAAATCCAACAACCAACCCAAACCCTGTGTCTAGTCACTAACACCATTATGTCCACACTGAACCACATGAACATGTAATTAATAAACAATTTGCCTGTTCATTTGTTGACGGAAAAGGGAACGAGACATAAGATGAGAGCTATTCTTGGGGGGGGGGGGGGGGCAAAAACAGGCATGAGGCCTTCAATCACTTCCTCAAGTTTGAGGCAGCCCAAATGCCCTTCCGAGTCTGGCAAACAATTTCCAGAATAATCTGGAGAACACAGTTCCAGAATGAAGAGATTACTGCCAGCTTACATGGAGGAAGCAAAGGGGGAGCACCCAAGAATCTGATGAACAAGAAGATAACTGATGCTGGACATGAAACTATGCTCAGAAAATGAGTGGGAGCCAGCAAGAAGAGACACTGGATGTGCCCGCCATGCACCAGCAGCCTGTTTATACATGGTTAGAGAAAAGAGGCCATGGAGCTCAAAATGACTGAAAGCCTGAATAGTGGAACAAGTAGAGGCAATCATTGCCGGGCAACAGCATGGCAAACACATCCGGACAGGCCACAGATACTGATGCAAGAACACGGGATTTGTTGTCTACGCAATCCATGCCAAGGCTATATAATGAGGACTATCAGCAGCTAATCATAAAAACATGAAAATAATTACTTCAGTTAAAAAAAGAAAAGGCAGTGATACTATAATCATCTGTTTTTAACTAAAATACATCATTTCACTAGGAAGACTTCTTCACTATCAGTCACATCCTCTTGGCGGCTTTCTTCACTGGACCAATGCCCAGGAAATCATACACTCCTGTCCAGCTTGTTAGAGAAGCCAGGAACTCATTATGATTCTTGCATAACAGATCACCAGGATGAGAATCCACAGGTATATTTGCATCAGCATGGCTCTTTTATGGCAATCAGCTAGTATTGTGGCACGAGTTTCCTGTACCCATACACTGCAAGCACATAGAATGTGTGCTTTATAATGCACAACTGACTATCATGTCAAGTGGCTACAACACCCAGGTCATGGCTCCTGGTATGATTTTTAGGTAGCATTCTTTTGCCAGCTGGGAATTCACATGATCTGTGATATGGCTTGGAAGCTGTATATAATCAGCCTGAATCGCTGGCATAACAGTGTGTTATAGTATTGTAACGTGTTTCGTTACTGAAGACGCCATAGAGATGGTTAATTGGTTTATTTAACAATGTACAAATAACGGCTACAATTAATTATAACACAGTTGCGGGTTTCACACTTTACAAACCCTACAACCAAATCTCTTCACACTATCTTCAAGAGTCTCCATGTATTAATAACGCGGGAGCTATACAAGTCTCCCTGAATTACACGCTCCAAGTATAACTGTACTACAGCACTCACTAAGTCTCGAAAGCACACACTAAGTCTTCCGCTCGCTGACTTCTTAGTTACCGCACACTCGCAGGCTGCTACCTTGAGCACTGTTGATAACACACTGACTCTCGCTTGCTGCTCAGCCGGCTTTTATTCCGTTCACTGTTGCTAGTGTGACATGGCGTATAGCCTAGGATGCTGTTACCCCTTGGTGATATCACCGCTGTTGACTCGCTTTGCATAGCTTCAAGGTTGCGGGGACTCGGTTAACGTCGGCTCCGTTCGGCTCACTTCGGCTCGGCTCGTGACGTCACCGCGGGGAGAGTTGAGGGGTGATTACTCGCCTATTACGCGAGCGCTACATTACCACTATGTGCAGCTGGGGAGGTAGGGGTCAACATGTCACACTGCTCCCTCCTTAACGTTATTCGTCCCGAATAGCCTAACCGTGCTTCCTCCGTTCCTTTTCCTTGGAGGCTGTTCTTGCAGCATCTTCTTTGT